GAGTTAACAAATTTCTCCTAGTTTTAAGTCGGTAAATACCCGATATAAAGGTTACTAGTTGAAATTAGAGTTAACGAATTTCTCTAGTTTCTAAATGGTAAATATCCCGATATAAAGGTTACTGTTGAAATTGAGTTAACGAATTTCTCCAGTTTCTAAATGGTAAATACCCCGATATCAAGGTTACTGTTGAAATTATGTTAACGAATTTCTCCAGTTTCTAAATGGTAAATACCCCGATAAAAAGGTTACTGTTGAAACTAAATGAGTGACAAACACACGTTCCTAGATCTTTATGTGATTAATAACCAGGTTATACTTGCCACTAAAGTGTATCATAAACCCACTTTCACAGGACTGTATTCATATTTTGAAAGTTTCACACTTTCAATCTTTAAATGTGACTAAAATTTTGTTCTACAGAGATTTTATGATATCAGGAAATCAAAATATTTTTGAAGCAGAAGTTGAGAACATTAAACAAATGGAAGAAATTGTTTTCATTGTCGTTCTTAAATAGAATAATCCATACAAAAACTGAAAAACTAAATACCCCCATCTATATTTATGTTAGATGTTCGGAAAAAAATCTTACTTTAGCTTTACCCTACTTAGGTGCTATTTCATACACGATTAAGATGAAAATTATAGAACAACTATATCTTCAAATTTAGTTGAAATGTGTCTTTAAAACAGAGTCTAAGTTAAAAGGGTTTTTCAACTTTAAAGACAAATAGCATCCATTGTGGTATGAGTTCAATGTCCTAGGTGTAATATGGATATATCGAATCAACCACTACAAGACTCTGCAATCGAATAAAATAACTCTGTAACGCTGAAACCTACACCACCAGTGTTACTTACTACCAATCACTGTCGAGACGAATGTGATATTATTCCTACCTCCAGTTTCTTCCGCGTCATTATCCATTCACTGGGAGAATTACATCTTAGAATGCTAGTCTCTCTTGCCATTAAGCTGAGAAAATCAGTTTTTAACCAGAAAATTAGCGCATTACCACGACAACTTCAATGGTGAAATGGACAGAAAGAAAAGAACATGAACTTCGTCTGTTGAGTATGTCAAAATAATACGAAATATCAATACACAAATACTACAAAAGAGAGATATACTTCTACACAAGTAAACACGTATTACAATGTTAATATCATTAAAAAACTCGGATAAAAAATATTGTTTTTGAACTGTTTAAACAAAGATACATAGTTGAAAATATCTCTGAATTTTTAATTGTAATATTTTGTTTTCAAAGTTAATATTCTTTACATCAAACTTCCCTGTTTACGGATTGAGTTTCTAAAGTATTTTAGTTTTTAGTATTAAGATGATTTTAGTAGCCTAAGGAAGAATTTCCATTAGGAAAACTGTTAAGCCTAGTCTCTTACAAGTGGCTGTGTTTGTAAAATAATTTAATATTTTAGTCTTAAAGTAAATTCATTCTCTCACGGAAGAATTTTCTTTAGGAAAAAATATTGAACTCAATATCTTACAAAAGGCTGAGATTTTAAAAGATTTTAACTACTTAAGAAAAACTTTACAATTGATTAAAAGTATTAAATTCAATCACTTACAACAGTGAACTACATGCGTGGTTCGGTTTTTTACGGAACTTTACTTTTCAGACTTTAAGATGATTATATTCGCTTAAGGAAGAATTTTCATTAGTGAATATTGTGTCTCACAACCGGCTATATTTGTAAGTTGGGCATTTAATGTATTTTTGTTTGTTGTTAAGTGTAAAGCTACACAATGAGTTATCTATTCTGTGCCTTCCATGGATATCGAAACCCAATTTTTGGTGTTATAAGCCTTTAGACTTGAATATTTATTTCTTAATTTATTTTCTAGCACGAAAATAATGAATCTCAAACCAAATTAACTTTATTGTAACTGTTTAAGCACTAAGTGTATTTTGCTTGCAAGTAGGACTATGTGTGGTCTATAGGTAAGGGCTCCCAGTCTTTGAATCTGAGGATTCGTGGCTTGCATTCCGTTACTACAAGAACGCTCTTCGCGCTTTAGAACTGTGGGTGCGATATAAGAGTGACAGTCAAATCTCACTTTCGATCAGACAGGAGTAACCCAAGAGTTGGCGGTGGGTGTTGTTGATTTCCTGTTTTCTCCATAGTACATGAGGAATTAGGAATGGTTGTGAGCAGACAGTCTCTGTGTAGACTTGCGTGCATACTCTAAAACAAAGAAACACAGATCACAACTAGATATATGAGTGTGTTTGGCAAAGAGTGAAGTTTCTTTAGGAAATCGTTTTAACTAAGTTGAAAGCCTACCTCACACAACTGATTTTCTCTCGCGAATTGCGAAACAGTTACATAAGAAATATATTACTTTAACTTATAACCAAGCTTTCCACAACCAAAATTTGTAAGGACAGCTAGAATAAAGGATTTACACTTTTCAATGTCATTAAAAGAAGTTGTACAGCCTTTGTTTCTTCGTGTACTCTGTAGTTATTCATATTTCCGATAGGGTATGTTTTAATAAGAGTTTCAGAATGGATAGTGAAGTAATTGTGTGTTTATTGAAATAAACTCTAATATAAAATTCATTATTGGAAGGGAAAAAAATAACCTGGATTTGCGGGCTCAAGAAAAGTAGTACTACACAGTGAAATATTGTTTTAATAAACTTGTAAATAAACTTTACAGACTCTTACTTTTAGTTTATAGGAAAATGTTATGCCTAGCTTACTCTGATCGGTGATTATTATTATAATATGATCTCGACTTCCGCAAAATATTTTTTTTAGTATTAGATAAACATAACTAACCGATTAAGGCAAAACTGCTGAAAGAAGTAAATTCATTGTGAAAAGTGAACGTTATTTTGTTTTTGGTCCAACCGTGGAGATTTATTAAACTGGAATTAAATGGTGATTCATGACCACTTAAACACTTCTTTTATTTCTATACTGACCAGATAGAAAAGTCATAGAATCTTTGTATACTAATGGCTCCACCAAACGTTTTTCTGTATGTTTGTAAGTAGCATTTAACTATGAATTATTCGATTAGTTAAATGCTTTGCTTTTAAGGTTCCATTATACTTATTTTGGAACTCTGATTGTAGTAATAAAAGAAGAAAAAACTTTGAACTTTAAGTTTTCTAAGAAAGACTGTACGACAACAGAGAATAGTTGAGTTAAGTAATACTAGACATCAATGGCAGCCAATCAAATGAAGTTTTTTATTCTATACCTCCTACTCCTTGGTTCATCTTTCATCCAACCAACCAATCAACGAACTAGTGCATCCGGTGTTGAATAGATGACCAAGCGCTCAGGGGGTAGCCACACCTAACAAAGAATACAATGAAAGACAATTTTTGCTTGATCCAGCTGTTCCATCATCATTGTTCAGAAGAAAGGATTGATTCTACATTCTCGTCCGCAGACCCTCTGGTGTACTTCATGTGACAACTCTTTTAGTGTCTTCCTCGTAACGTGAACGAAAACCTCTTATCTTTGAATCTGCATTGATAAAGAACAATCAGACAAGCCTTAACAGAAAGAAATAGACAAGTATCTTAATGTATAGGTCCTCCACAGCTGTCTACTTAACTAGATATAACTGAAGATTAGCAAAAACCAAGACCTTTTCCTCTTGTCAAATATATGGATCTCGTAAACTTTCTCTAAAAGAAGAAGTGTAATTGAATGCTAACAACTAAATTTAGAGAACCCTAAAATTGGACTAAAAACCCACAAGAAATGTGTTTTTTAGGAACAGATACATAGTAAGAAAAGTACTCCTGTTACACACGGAAATCGTTAAAAGTCTTAATGGTTTCCACAAAGCCTAAACGTCATATGTATAGATAGAAGAATGAGTTGAAAAGATAATGTCTTCTCAAGTCTCTTGAAAGTACGAAAAATGAAATTCATATGGATCAGAGTTCAAGCATTACTCAACTCGAATTAAATCCTCGAATATGTAGAGCTTAAACGTAATGGGTGTCATAATTAAATATGATTAATATCGTAATATATAACGCAATGTTTAAAACAAAAATATGTATGCAAAGGTTGCTTTACCTTCTAATTCGAATATAAAGAAACTTACTTAATGTTCATTTTTGCAAAGTATTTCTATTTATCCAGAAAATGAATTCCTCAATGGTATAGTAAAATTTCAAATGTTTTAGCCAAGTCACCTCGACCCTTATGGACTTAGTAGTTTTGTTTATGGAATAACATTAGTTCCTGCTAAAAATGTTCTACAGTCGCATTTAACTTTATCAAAAGGGACGTCAATGTGCTTTAGAATAGTGAATATAAAATATTTGTTTGTTTTCTAGTCCTTTTGAACGTCGGTTGATCTTTCTGTGTTTATTGTTGCATGTTTTTGCAGGTTACTGGGAATGCCTAGCACCTACCACAGCACGCTGGAACTGAAGCCTACGACGTACAAGAACTACTGCAAGAAACTCCACTACTTGGTGGAAAAGCAACAAGAGTTGTGTGGTCTTAACTATAATATCCTGATGACCGTCGGGCGTGGGGCCAAGATGGGGATTGAAGAATGTCAGTTTCAGTTCAGGATGAGCCGGTGGAACTGTTCTACTTTCAACAATACCCCGACAGTTTTTGGTGGAGTTTTAAACGTCAGTAGGTATCATAAGTAGTGCGTTTCAAATTTTCAATTCTAATTTCGTGTCATTTATACAACAAACATTTTGGAGGTATTCTTTTTTGGGGTTAAAAAATAGTGTTTGTGACTACGCTGCTTTCCAGTTGACTTTAACATCAGGGTCTTTAAACATCCCTTAGCAAAATGTATTATACAGAAGTTTTTTACATAAATCTATAGTCCTTAATAGGGTTTTATTATCTAATCTTTTAGGGGGGATGTTTTTTTTTCTATATATGTCATAACAATAAATGATTTACCAACGTTATCATACCAAAGTTCTTTAATGATTATACCACGTATCATTACTACCAGCATATCACTTGTTTACGAAATTCCAAACAGTTATTTTTTAAAGCTACAAATTCAGTGTTACAAAAGCTAGGTTATGTAATGATGATAATTCATGTTCTGAGCCTTCGAACATGTGGCGCATATGTATATGTCATTTAAAACGAGCTCTTTAGTTCTGCATTAAAAGCTATATGCCAGTTTTTGATTTGCTCCTAAATGAGACTCCATGATGTTCTAAATACAAGGGTGGGTTAGCATGAAAGAACCAGTTCGGGCAATTAAGAATGCTACCAAATACATCGGCCCACCGGGCTATCACTCGGTAACCCGGTGGGCCATCTACGTAATCAAAACATTCACGTAGTGTTTTACTTTTATCTCTGGGTCGGCTGATCTGTATTATATATTTTTTAATAAATTAACCAGCCTTTCACTATTGTGTGTTTATGAAGCAAGTCTGATTAGAACTTTTCCATAATATCAAATTGAAAAAGTAAAACAAAGTTATTTTTAAAATACATTACGTCACTCTGGTCAAGAACAACCAATGTCCTGTAAGAAAGGAATTACTAGGATCAGTGATTTACCTTTTTAGTTCAGATGCATAACTGAGTGTAGTTTTGAAAAAATACATTTTAAAATGCAGCTCGGTATACATGAATGTTTGTGATAAGCGTATGTTTAATTGGTCTCTCAGCTAAGTTATGAAGAAATATGTGTAGAACTACAGCTCATACGAACATGATTTACATATTGGCTCAAACATTTTTTTCCTTATTGCCCCCGAGTGGCACAGCGGTATATCCGTGGACTTACAACGCCAGAAACCGGGTTTCAATACCCACGGTGGGCAGAGTACAGATAGCCCATTGTGTTGCTTTGTGCTTAACTTGAAACACGCACACCTTTTCCTTATTATATTTTATACCTCACAGTTGTATAGATGTAAAAAAACATTTATTGATAATTCATCTTTTTCTCTAAATTATTACAGAAAACTTCTACGTCTGTTCAAAGTTTCATGAAATAACAAAAAAAAAGTATACAATTGACAAAGATTAGCTAAGAATAAGAAATAAATATAACCTACGTTAACAGTGGTAATACTTTTCTTTTTGGTGTTTTGTTACAAAGGTTGTCCGATGAGTTTAAGGTTTCAACCTAACATTCTTTAAAAACTCAGAAATATAATTATATACGATCAAAATATTACTGATACTAGGTGGCACAGTAGAGAGGTCTTACAAATAATTAATCTTAGTAATATTCAATATAAAATAGATACAGCAAATTGTTACTTATTATAGTTTACAACTGTCATTGTTTCTTATTGTATATTTTGTTTTTCTGCTTATAATCTAGTTCTTTCTAATATAGATAAACATACATCTTGTGAATTGTTAGTTTTATTATTGTGCGCAGTAAAAATATTTCTTAGCATATTTGATATTATTCAAACTGAAGCACAAGATAACATTAGAATTCCTGTGATTTTCGTACTTCGAATATGGGATAAGGGAACAACAGGAGTGCAGGTCTGTCGTGCAGAAGGCAGATCTCTCTCTAACTCGCTGTTTTTGTTGACGTAGCTGCATGCTATTCGTTTCAACACCCACAAAAATTGATACCTCCGTAATGGTGACTGATGGAGCCATTTTGTCACTAGCTGTCAACATGTCACATGATCCACATCGTCTGTACGTCATGAACAGTTCAGCCAATCATCAACTTTTCTCTTGTGAAAGAACTTAAACCATGAGCATAAAACAACGTAACATTACAGCGAACAAAGAAAGTGATCAATACGTGCAGTAATAAGTTTTAGTAGAAACATAACTTCTTTATTTATATATATATATATAAACCACAAAATAATGACGTGGAGAATATCAAATGTTAAAATATAAGACAGAACATACGTAAAGAAAATTAAATCTCAAAAGCCTATAAAGCTCTAAGGCCTAAGTAATGTATAGTTGCATGTGTGTGTTTATATGTATACAATGATGGGTATTAAGGACGATTAAAAGATCCTATTGAAATTCAACTAGTTGTTTAAGTACGAGAGAAAACTGTAAATGATCAAAACTAGTCGTTATGAGCTGAGTGTTTTAAAAGTAAAGTATATCAACCTCACACAATAGTGACAATGTAAAAAGGTGCGTAAGATACATAGAGAAGAATATAAGTATCAAGTCTAAAAGTTGTAAGAATTATGAAACACGGGGAATTGTGCCAGAAGTTTTTGCAAAATCAACAGCCATTAACTTTCTTACTGCAAAAGGCCCAAAGGGGGCGCAGTCTGCTTGTCTCGATTCTTATCGGACACTAACCGTTCAACGCAAGAAGACAGTGAGGTAATATACCACATCCAGTTCTTTCCATTGTTAGTAAATTATGCATACAAAGATTACCTCAAAAATACAGAAAATATGACGAAACTGAATATATCACGGGTCCAAAATACTGTAAAATATTCAATGACAAACTAAACTTACGACTCGTTAATGTCTGTTGACCTAAATCCAGAAAGTACAATTACAGATATTCAGCTCTTTCTCCGTTAAAAGAGAGCTAATATCCAAATTAATAAAGCCTGTAAAATTTGAAAAATTGCGTAATATACGGCCAGTTTTGTAATAATTGCCGAACATTTTAATTTGACTTTCGAATATACATATATAAGTTTTAAATATGCTCGTTTACGAGCTAATAGTTTTTTATGTTAACAACACGACAAGCAGTAGAAAATGAAAGGTTGTTAATCTTACTTATTTCATATTAAATTCTTGGGTGGCAATGTTGGTTGATTTATCGACTCAGACATTTTTATGTACGTATTAGAATGCAAACATAAATAACTTTGGTATTAGTTGATGAGTCAGCCCACTCCTCCTGTCTCTTTCTAAAACACCCACTGAATCCTTGAAAATCATTTTAGCAGACAAGTTATTTATAACCGGTTTCGACCTGACAAGTTATGTATAACCGGTTTCAGATTTACACGTCTTGACGTTGATATTAT